CGCACGGGGAGGAGCGGGCATACCAGCGATGGAGTCCACGAAGTAGTGGAACTTCCTCTTGAAGATGTCCAGGGTGTGGGCCAGCACCTGGCGGTAGTCGGCCTCGCCCTGAGCGATCAAGTTCAGCTGCTTCTCCACGGCGCTGCGGACGGTGGGCAGCACGAGCTCTGCGTCTGCGGGGCGAGCGCACGGGTCCAGGTGCCGCGGCCCCCACCCCTCTGCGCCGTGCACCCAGAGCGGACGGCACCAGGAGGGCTCCCACTGGAGTCCAGTGCAGAGGGGGCTTTGGGTGGTGTCACAGGGGAGGCCTGCCCCGCTCTATCCCCTGGGACGAGCTCGGTGCCAAGGATCCCAGGCCTGGTGGGGCCTCGTCAGGTGGCTCTGCTGGCCTTATTCATCACGTGCACTGAGCCCTGCCCCAGGGGCACCTGGCTCAGGTCCCGGCACTGGGTACTGGGGGAGGCAGTGAGGCCGTGCCCAGCAGCGGAGTCAGGGGCCCGGCCAGCCCCGATTGGGGGCGGGTGGCCGACTCACCGATCTTGTAGTAGCCGTGCACCAGGACGATGCCAAGGTTGGTGGGCTTGAGCCGGCGCCCGCTCTCCACAGTGACGTAGTTCCGCTGGCAGATGTTGTTGATATGCACAGGGATGCTGGCGTCTGTCCCTGGAACACCCAAGCAAGACCTCGGTCCTCCCTGCCTTCCCACTTGCCCACAGGGCAGGTGCTCAGCGCCACGCCCACCGAGCGCTGCTGCGTACAGCACGCCTGCGCGACGCGGCGCGGCACGCCTGCATCGCATGCACTGTCTTGTCGACCTCCAGAACTGCCCACTCACCCACACTGCTGCGGGTTCCCGTTTCCAGATGGCATGCGATGGCTCTGAGAGATTAGATCACTCGGCCAAGGCACCAGAGCTCACCAGAGTCCGGTCAGTGGGATCTCTGCAGCCCAGACCCCCGTGCACACAGCTCGTTGCCCCAGCCTCTCTGTTCTGTACACAGACAGCCTCTCCCCATCCCTCGCACCCAGGATAGGTGTGGGAGGGTGGGGCTCCCCCAGCAGTCTTTTCACCGCCTGGACCATGGATGGGGTCCCGTCCCAGAGATCAGGCACTGTGCCTCCCCGACCCCAGCCACAGGAGCAGCACCAATGGTGTGACACGGAGCAGTGACTGCAGCTGTCCTGACGCCACGGCTCCCTGTTGCCTGCCTCTGTCCTCGGGCCCAGGGGCTTGTCAGCCACCAGCCCACCCGGCTGCACTGCCACAGAGCACACGCAGTAGCTGTGAAGATGCCAAATGTGCATTCAAAACCCAAATGCACTTGTCTACTTGCCCATCATTTTAAAAACACAGAGGGCAGGAGACCACAAGTCGCTGAAGTAGAAGTTGAGGCTGTGGAAGGAACTCCCCTTCCCTGGGACCCACCAAGAAATCAAACCACACCCACTGCCATCGAGTCATTGCTGACTCACAGCGCCCCTAGAGGACAGAGTGGAACTGCCGTCCAGGGTCTCCAAGGCTGTCCATCTTCACGGACCATTGGGGCCCACCAAGAAATCAAACCACACCCACTGCCTTCAAGTCATTTCTGACCCACAGCGCCCCTAGAGGACAGACTGGAACTGCCCACAGGGTCTCCCAGGCTGTCAATCTTCACAGAAGCAAAGCCCAAACCACACCCCCTGCCTGGAGTCCATTCTGACCCACAGCGCCCCTAGAGGACAGAGTGGAACTGCCCACAGGGTCTCCAAGGCTGTCAATCT